CTCTCCTAAGATCAGGAGGAGGATTGTGCAGTTCACAGAAAGCTACAAGGACATTGCATTTCTATCAGAATCATCAGGTGTTTTCTGTGCTAGCTGGAAATGTCTTTAGCCGGAAAAATAAAACTATTGCACCACATCCAAGGACATGTTAGCTGCAATATATTAAATTTTGGGGTTTGATGTACTTTAAGGTGCATGTACAGTATATAGCATGTAGTTGTTCTAGGAGCACACGGATATGTTCTGGAGCATAGAGCAGAATCCCCCACCCCTCCCCCCAACTGCACAGTGTAATATGCTGTCAGCCTGCAATGTTGTTCTTTTTGGGCATGTGCATAGCAAGCAACAAGGATCACCAGGGGGTCTCCAGTAGCAGATGTTCACAGCACAAATAATATAATCATAACTATACAGAATGCCATCATCTCAGTCCACCTAAAACCAAGTAAAAGCTTAAGCCATGTACTCCTCACAATAATATTACTGAATTCCAGCCTTTAAATTTATCATACAGAATATAGTTGCTGTTTGCTCCTGTAGATATAAAATTTGGTATGTGTGCTTTCCTCTAATGTTCTTCATTGGTATGCAAAGTGTCTTCAAATCATTGCTCCCACATAAACGGTTTTCACAGGTTCTTCTGTACCAACGTGACATATAGGTGACCACAGAAGTACTTCCTGGCACAAGAGAGGTGAACAAAGGATAGTATGTTGACGTAGGTCATGATGATATGTTGTCTTGTTGTCCAGCCATGGACTTTACACCCAGGGTTGGTAACGCTGCTTAACATTCCAGTGTAGCGCTGTCAACATTGTGACGGAAGGTAGATACAGCCTGTATTTCTGGTAGGATCACTAGATGGCTCACCTTGTAGTCAATGGGATTGCCAATCAGTTTTGGCATTAAAAACATATACTTACTTTTAAATATAAAGTTCATCTGTAATGCTGTACTATGACCAGGGACATTCACAGCAGTTCGAGGATGGGCATACACGTCAGTGTGCTTGCAGGGTTATTCACAGAAGGGTGAAGAGTTTGGAGAAGACGGGAGAAGTGAACAATCTATGACAACATAGTCGGTTTGGAAAAATTCTCCAATTCAACTCACTTTCCAGTTCAACTTTGTTGTCCTAGATTGTTCTTCTCCTGCCTTCTCCAAACTCTTCACCTTTTTTGTGAATAACCCTGCTGAAATGTATGTATTTAGGAAACCCCAGAGTCTTCATTCTTGGTGGCGTTTACCACCAGACTTGCCTCTTTGCACGTTTTGTGTGCGACTTTTTCACATCTTCAGGATTGAGCATTTTTGTTTTAGCCAATGGAAAGCTAGTTGCTAGGAGGAGGAGATATTTGTTAGGCATTACGCTGAAATCTACTGGGTCCAAAAAAGTGCAATAATTCCCAAAATAATCTCTTTTTTTGAGCTTTGAGTGACAGCACATCACTTAGATGTGGCTTGGCGCAATAGAAAAATATGGAAATCTGAGTGTCAAGTGTTGAAGCTCTTCTGGGAACGTGCTTCAGGTCGCTCAGGTGTAAATGGGGGCTTAAAGCATTTATCTTTGTATTTCTTAACTAAGCCCTACAATATTTTAACTGTTGCAAAATTGAGTTGATGCAAGCTTCCTGTACTTGTTTAGTATAGAAATGTTATACTGCTGACTCTCAAACCATGGTAAGTATAATTATTTAACATGTCAGCTAAAATGTATTGATGTTCCCCCTTCTCTAAAATGTAAGTAGGATGTGATTGCCGGAGCCATATTTACTGTTACTGGCACTATGCTATTGAAGTGTTATCTTTACATGCATCTAGGAACCTCCTGGCTTGTCATCTTGATCTGGTCTCATAGTTATTGCAAGAATAAATGATACAGACAAAATATTGTCTGTCTGCTGTCACTGATTCATGTCCAAATCCAATTGGAAGCAAATGATGGGGATAGTGGAAACAGATGCAAGTATCAATCAGTGTGTTACTGCAACAACATTTAAAGGGAAGCTGGAGTGTTTTCCTTTAATACTAAATTAATATTTAATCAGTTATGTTTGATGGACTCCAACATATTTTTTACCTGTTTGCTAATCTGTAATTTGAGGTACTTTATTCCATGTGTAAGTTTGTAGATTCCCATAGTGTACT